AGTTAGGGGAGGGGGGGGGGGGGGAAGTTGTACATTTCAGGTGGAAGGTTCTGTGTGAGTACCAGTGTGTGACAGTGCAAAACTCAGTTGTTTGAGGTTCCAGAGGTTGAGTGTTCAGAGAACAATCTGTTTCTTCAGCTGTGCGGGCAGATGCTTTAATATTTAATGTGCCATTTCTGTTGCACTTTTCATAAAAACGCTTATTCATGCAGTAGCTATACTTAAGATTTTAGAGCTCTAAATGTTCATAAAAATGCATTGGTTCTGTTTGAAACATTAAGGTGGTAAGCGTAGTTACATGGAGGCTAAAATTTGTGTTTGGCAGTGTGTGATAGGAATACCACTGCAGAGAGAGACTTCAGAGGCTTTGGAATGTATGTCAGTCTGGCATAAGTTTCAAGTCTGAATTTTCGTCCTTTACCTTTCTACTATAGTTACTTATATCCCACTTGCTTGTTGTTTTCCCGAACAGTGTTAATGACTGTACTAGTTGCTTTATATTGTGTTTATTCTAAGCACTGGTATTAGCAAGTAAAGAGTAAATCTTGTCCTTGTCGAAAGCATTCATAACTTAGAAACGTTGCTAGAAAGGAGCTGTAATAATTTGACAGACAAAAGCGTGAATTAACAGTTTAAGCAGAAGACAAAAGATTAGTACAGTGACATAATTGGCTCATAAATGAGTCCCGAGTGTAATAATGATGTCTCTGACTAAAAGATCACAGCCGTAGCCTGCAGTGTGTGGCCCTTTTATTGATGTGATGCAGATACGGTTTAGAAAAGCATACTGAAGGTGAGGTGTCTCCCTGCCCACACAAACTAAGCCAAGAAGAAAAGTGATTAATAAATACGTATTCACATTTCAGAAGGCCCCATCTGATAGAGGCAGGAACACAGTAAGTGGAGGACAGTAGATAGTAGAAATAGGAAGAGAAAATAGCATTAACAGAACAAACTGGCACTCAAAATTTTAAGCTATCTAAATTATCGGTTTGCAGTGACTGTAAAACAAACAAGCCTATAACTATCTGTAATCTAACCTACTCTGTAAGCGTAGGAAGTTGAGTAAAGGAATATCCTTCTAGGTTCCCAGGTTGTTAAGCAGTAAGTAATATAAAATCATACTTGTGAGGTAACTGCATCATGAATCTACAGAAACCTTAGCTATTAAAGCTTTTTCTGTTGAAAGGAGAACAAAGCAAAATATGAAAAGTCATCAAGGAATAAATGGTCAAGAACACAGCTCTCGTTATCTGAATCTTAAAGCAGCTGAAGAAGTACTCACTCTTAGAACTCAAACTAGGTTGGAAACAGATGCCAAGCAGCAATTTTTTTATTCTTTGTAAAAGCCCAAAGAAATACAAACAAAACTCAAGTTGATGGCACATGGAAAAGAGTAACCATACCAGAGAAATGAACTTCAGTACAGCCAGAAGGCTCTAACCAAATTCTGCTGAACTACTAATAAGTTTTCAGATTCAAAGAAGATTGCTGTAGTGTAATTACAGCATTTGTACAGAACTTCCTTCATCCAGAGGGAGTCCCTGCAAATAAAGCTTGGCTTAATGGATCTGAGATCACTTCAAAACTTGCAAAAGGTAGAATAGGACAGTGATTTTTATCATTTGATGTATCCTTGCTCCTGTTTCTGCTAATGTTCAGTTTGTTAGATAAAATCAATTCAAAGGTAAATAAAAAAGGGGGGGGGACGGACTCTAGAACTGCGCTAAAGCGAAAGATAAAAATTGTGGAGGTTCTTGTTTGCTCCTGTTTATCTAGATGATATTTTAAAATTGGATTACGGAGTTTTGTACATGGAAATAAACAAGAGACTTCTTAAATATATTAGGACTGGCTTTGTTTTACCTAATGGTAATGAATAGGGAAAATATTAATTATCCTTGTTATTTATTTAAAAAAAAAAAAAAGCCACATACTGATCAGTCATGGTGAACCATTTCCCAGGTACTGTCATGCTGGATGACTGGTTCAGTTAGCACATGTTGTCATTCTTGTAGATAATAGCTCAAGGACAAAGCTAACAAAAACTTCTTGATCACAGTGGCTTCTTTTATGTTGGTGTAGTAATAGATACAGTTTCATGTATGCAGAAGGTCAAGACCTCTTCCCTTTTTAATGGAGAAATATCATGTGTTAAAACCACAGTATCTTTTCCACTGAACAAACTACTAAGGACATAATAATTTTTGAGGTACTGCACAAAGAAGAAAATAATAATCTTATGTCTGGAGTGGACATGGCCTTTGTTGTATTAAGGGGAGATATAATTAGAGATTGAGGAAAAACTGTAGTGAAGTTTAAATGAGCTTGATATTAGACAGCCTGTGTAAGTTGTGGCATCTCCAGCTTTTGGAGCTTTTAAATATGTTAAATAAGCATATGCAGAATGAAGCAGATGTGATCTTAATTTTGTTTGGGATGAATTAAAGTCCCTTTTTTAATTCTTTGCTAGCAAACTACAGATTTTAAAATGCTTTCTTCTATACATATATTTTGTATCTTTATAAAATCTTGAATAGTATGTTAAAAGTACAGAAGACTATCAGACATAAAATATCTTAAGAATACACAAGAAGCTTTGTAAAATAATAGTATAAATGTTATTTCTTACCTTATTAAATATTTCATCCTAAAAGGCTTGAAATAGGGGATTGCTTGTGGCTGCATGTTGTATATGCTGCTGTAGGTATCTGTGGAGGGAAGGATTTGAGTTCTGAGATATCTTAGTAATTGAAAAAAATAAATCTTAATGTTACTTTTATATTAAATATGGTTAAGAATTTGACATTTAATTATTTTCACCTAATCTGAATATTTGTTACTTCTGTTATTTGATTCTGTCCTGTAGGCAGCAAAGAATGTAGGTATCCTTTCTAACGAGGACAACGAGGCTTACTTCTAGTATTTTGAGGTTTCCATCTAGCTTTATAAAATATTCTTCTAAACTCTTCTTCTGTTTTTGATCCCGTTTTAATTTGTTGATCTTTAGTATATATGTGTAACATGATAAATAGTAATATAAAGTTATTAAATGTTGCTTTAGAAAGGTCTTACCCACTTCTAGTGAGAAATGGTATAAAGCATCAGTCTGATTTTTCTCTGCTCTGTGCAGAACACCAGTTTGAAAATACTGTTCATTCTTCTGTACAATTTCTTCTCTACCCCATGACCCCTTCCTTTTTTCTCAGTTTCAACTTGCTATATGGCCTGAGGAACATCTGATGATCTGGAGCATTTTTTTTTTTCCTGGCAATCAGAAGCAGAAGGCCTCTGCTCTACAATATGTGTGTAGAACAGTCTGCTTTCTGAAATCTTAACTTCTAAACTCATACAAAAAGAATGTCTGATTCATGTACAGAGCAGTGTGAAAATCATGTGTCCCCTCTGAGCTCAGTGGTCACTGTGAATCAGCTGAGATTTGATGGGAGTGAACCGCCAGCTGAGCAAACTGTCATGTAAAGTGTAAAATTCTCTGTAAGTCTCACTTTTCTTTCTTTATAGGTCAATGGCACGGATGCAGATTATGAGTATGAAGAAATTACTCTTGAAAGGGTAACATGCTAAATGTCTTTCTATACTCTTTTAGATGGGATCTATGATACCTTAATATGAAAAATTAATGTCTTGATACTGCTAAATGTCAATCCAAAACAATCCTTACTGTTTTGTATTTTTTTTTTCCTTTAGGTAGATTATTTAACCTAAAGAAAAAAATATACCCAGTTGCTGGAGCAGGAATAGACGTTTTTATTAATATCCTTGAATATTAAGAGGAAAATGGGGGAAGGATCTCCCTGAGACATACTGCATTTAATGTTCTTATCTAGGCTTGTAGAGAGTAATAACACAAATTATTATTTCATTTCCTATATTGCCACTTATGATAGGCTTTTATTTATACCATTTAGTTTTATATTGAGATTCAGGCTTCCAGTTGTGATTACAAGAGATGCCTTGGCATATGCATTGCTTCTTTAGGTTTACAATGTTGAGATCTATCTCAGTTCTCATTTCTTGAGCTGCACTGTTAACAAAAAGAAAGAAAGAAATGGTTGTATTTCACACCTGTGCAGTTCTGGTGGTTACTGAGAGGGTGAAGAGGTCTTGCAGTTTACAGTAAGAGCAGGCAACCTTTGAAGAGAAAATATCAGTCTGAATCTCTGCATCTGTGAGGATATATTACATATGTGACACAAATCATGTGGGGGCTTCTCTGGGAAAATAATTTGTCACTAATAATTTAATGAGGAGCAAATATTTGTATGAATAATCTCAAAGATCTAGCTCACTAGAGAGGGAAGTTTTTATCTAATTTATCAAGTTCACTTCAGTGAGAAAGCTGTGGGGTTGCAACTGTGTCTCTTACAGTTACACAATGACTTATGTTCTTCTATGAAAATAAGTAAATTATGTCTTACATATGGTTATATGTAGTATACTGCTTGAAGTGTCTTTTAGTATTTTTTATTGGTGAAAATTACATAGATTTGGTTCTATATTGAATCAAATAGATACACTTGAATATCTTTTCCCCCAAAAAGAAATGTGTAAATCTTTTTTCCCCTCTACCTTTAGGGAAATTCAGGACTTGGCTTTAGCATTGCAGGTGGTACAGACAACCCACATATTGGGGATGATTCAAGTATTTTCATTACAAAAATTATAGCCGGGGGTGCAGCTGCACAGGATGGAAGATTACGGTATGATGATTTTCTATGTTGGGTTGCTAAATGTTTGTTATTACATCTTCAAACAGTGGAGAGAATGTTTTCTGTTGCTTTTAGTAGTTTTACATGCTACATTACATTTTAAATAAGTTTTACTTACAGAAGTATTTTGTAAATAATGAAAAATATTTGAGTGGACCAATTATTTTTTTCCCCAACCAATAAAATCTGCATTTAAGTGAACTTTATCTTTTCTGTTTGGTGGTATAAGTTGATTATGCCATATGTTCTATAGTCCTTAATTCAATATACAATGGAAGAGCTTAGACAGGTAGGATAGGTAACTAACTCTTGGTTATCCATGTGCAGATTTCCTGATCTGTAAGATAGTTGAGCTTAATAACAACGCTCTTCTATGCTTGGTATAATTCTGTGTCTTAATTTTTCAAAGATACTACACATTTTCAAAAGCAATGGGTTTTTTTTGTTTAAATTAATAGCATACTCCTTCTCCAGTATACCTTGTTTTCTTATTTAACTGTGGACTGATACTACTACTTAACTCCTAGTGAGGAAAAGTTGGCGTATTACTAGATGGTAGCAAGTGATATTTGCAACTTTGAGAAGAGTACTGTTAGAAGTTAATAATAAATTGCATTAATAAATTACTTTTTTTAATCCAGAACAGCCTTTAAATATACTCCTGTATCACTGTGTGGAAAAAACCCACATCCAGTTGTAGGACCAGCTTTTTTCTCGTGTTGTCAAATCATTTTTGGTGCAAATGCCTGATGCATTATGTTTTTTAGTCCTAATAAGCTTATTTCAAGGCTTCATTTTTAGCTTGTTGGCTATTGTCAGAGGTACATCTGGCAGAACACAGTGACAGGTGGGTCAGGCATTGTACTTAGTGTAATGAGAGCTCAGTGTTACTACAGCAACATGTTAAATGGAGTGGAAGGCCAGCACTTAAACAGCTTGTGAAAGGCAGTAATGGAGGTTGTGTTGTTCATATCATGGCTTAAAACTAGTGTGTTCTCACTGCATGCCTCCTAGTTTCTGAATTTTTTTAGTTTTCTCATAGCCCTAAATGTAGTTTGTACGAAGCTCTGTTCAAAATACTGTTTAAATGAAACACATGTAAGATGGCGTTCTCTTTGGCTGTGAACAAAATACTCCCTTTAAATGTCTTCTAGTAGTCCTTGGGTTGTTTTTTTTTAAAGCACTAATTAGTTTTAGACCATTGTCTTGACTCAGCATAATTTTGAAGCAAAATCTATGTATCTTATTGTGTTAACATGTATGTTAGTGTATTGTAGATAAAATATTAGGCTCCTAATGTGTCTGCTCTGCTATAACACAACAGCTGAACATGAATGTTGCTGTCTCTAGGGTTAACGATTGTATTCTACGAGTAAATGAGGTGGATGTTCGTGATGTGACACACAGCAAAGCAGTTGAAGCATTGAAAGAAGCGGGATCAATTGTACGATTGTATGTCAAAAGAAGAAAACCAGTCACAGAAAAAATAGTGGAAATCAAACTTGTAAAAGGCCCTAAAGGTATGTAGGAATTATAAAGCTTCTGTTTCACGAGAAGGATAGTGTTGACGATAGATTTCTGCATTTATTTTTCAAAATAAAATAGTAAGTTGCATATGACGTTCTAGGAAATGCAGAATAATGAAAAATAAGATAATGGCATCTCAAATGCTTCTGAATTTTCATCCATGTCTTGAAACTTCCTGTAGAATGCATGTTTTTCTTTCAAATGATAAAAATGTGTTTCTGATAGTATTTAGTAATTTTTTTTAGTATATTACAAATGGGAGTAAAATATTTAATTGAATTACCTAGAAAGGATTTTGAGAGATTAAAAAACACTTAGACAGCTTTATTTTGTTTCTATATGGGTAAATGTTGGACAATGGTTCTTTAAATATTAGTGGAGATGCTATAGCTCTGCTGTGTGCATCTTTCACAAGGCATGGAGCAAATGGTTTAGTTTTTGATTTTCAGAACTTCTGTAAATGTTACGTCTTCTCCAGAACTTTCTGGAAAACTATGGAGTTCATTTGGAAAGGCATCCAGTATTGCTTCAGCCAGAGCCTAGTATTTTTATATATGCATTTGTGTGATACAAATAGTATTATTAGTTATATAATAATTTGAATCTAATGAATGCTAAAAGGTTTCTTGAGTAACGATTTTATCTTCAAGCAGGTCTTGGTTTCAGTATTGCTGGTGGTGTAGGAAATCAGCATATACCTGGAGACAACAGCATCTATGTAACCAAAATCATTGAAGGTGGGGCAGCACATAAAGATGGCAAACTTCAGATTGGAGACAAACTTTTAGCTGTAAGTAAGAGCTGCATTTTTTTTATGGTCATTCACTTTTAGGCCCAGTAAGGGCATGGTTTACTTTGTGGTTAAGCTGCCTGCCAGTGGAGTGTTACTTCATAGAACTCAGTAAAAAAATTGATATTGCCAGGAAATCAATGATAAAAATTAAATCTGCAGTGTTCAACACCATCTCATCAGGAAATCTGAAATCTATTCCTGTCCCAACGTTTCATGCAAAACTTGTATTAATCACCATGTTTATTTCTGATGCCTGCTATTATTTTTCTGGGATCTGAGTGACAGGATTGTAAACTATCATACAATGGGATTGTTTCTCTTCTCAAAAAAGAACAACAGAAAGGAACTCCATGTACTGGTGGCTGGCCAGCCTGTAGTGAAACTGCGGCTTACATTGGATTTCAGTGTTTGTAATGCTTTGAATGGTTTGGTTTTTTTTTTTTTAAGTTTAAAATACTTCAAAGTTGAATTTTCTATGCACAAAGTAAAAGTAACTTTCAACTTTCTTAAATTCCATCCACAAATCTAGTTGTCCAGCTAGAAAAATGAGAGCCAGAGCCAGGAATTTCTGAATGAATTTCTGAATTTTAAACTCAACTCTGATTGAGGGCTCCACCCTCCTATGTCTATCAGGCAATACCTGTAAGAGCTCTGAGTACATCTGTACTCAGAGTACGTGACAGCAGAGTGTGTGCTTTATTGCTCTTTGAACAGTAAGAAACTGACTCCAAATTTTTAGTGCAGAGTTTCCTGTCTGTTAAAAGATTTTTTGGATAAGTTAGCCACTTAAATAAAGAGCTGGGAAAACTGAAGCTACTTAAAGAATTCTGGTATTATCCCTTTATCTAAAGAATCCTGCTTTTTTGAAGTATTAGGAATGAGATCTTGGTGTTAAAATGGATAGTTCCGTGAAACCAGCTCAAGACATGAGCAAATCCTTACGTGAGAACTGGGAGGAAAAAAAGAGAAAGAGAATATATTATTTTTACTATTAGCTGCACAATAACTATATACCTTCATATGCCATGCAAATTCACAAACCCCAAGATCCAGCTGCTTGATGACAATGCTGTCACATATTTGATGTTTTTAAGTTTTGAAATCTGCATCATGGGAAGTGTTTTGATTATAGGACCTCCCCAGAATGCGAGGGCACTGGAAAGCTTCCTTTTAATGGTGAACTGCTTTCCAGTGTTATAATTTGTCACCTGTACAAGAAAATTTCATGCTAACTTGCTTATATCATAAAATATATGGAAAGTTTTAATGAATTTTTGTTAGAAGTAGCAAACTTTTGCGACAGATTACTTTGTCCAGTATTACTTTATCCATTAAAAAAAATTGCCTGACAAAAGTAAATAAAGTAGTTTTGGATTAATATCAGATACTGTTTCAGGGATGCAAGGAGCATATACATTATGCTATTGGATATAGTAAATATAATGTCCTAATTTATTGTAGCTGTAATCATTCCCTCAGTTCATTAAGTTAGGAAAGAAGTGGGTAAAATGTCATCTATAATATCTTCTGATTAGCCAAATTTCACTTACTCAAAGCTTTAGTCGCTAATGTAGAGAGAAGCTCCCGTATTTTGCAGAATGTAACTTTCTGTCTGCATATTTAGGTTGTACTGCAATTACTAATGCACTGCAAAATGACTTTTCAGTCATCAGAGTGGTAGGAATTTAAATCTGTTTACAAAAAAATAATTCAGTAAGAGGCTTTTGGAAAACTTTTAGGAAACTTTTAGAAAACACTGATGGAAAGAATATATTTAAGCAGTAGAGTTTTTTCCCCTGCAGATAACAATTGACAAGGCCCAGTTGTTTTTACACAGGATATAAAGTTAAGTAATCAAACAAAGGAAGGTGTCTTTGGTCCCTCAGGTTCAGTGCAGTACAAGCCTTATTTCCCACGTTGTCTGGAATTATCTGCAGAAGTTACTTCCCTCATCAAAATATGGAAGAGAGGGTCAGCAACTCAATTTACTGTGGCTCTATATGAGATAATAATTGTTAAAGGATTTTTTTTTTTAAACTGAAGTGCTAGTGTTTCACCTTAGTAGCAATAGTTTAAAAAAATCTGTTGTCTGTAAAGTTAAACTACTTCTTATTACTTGGCATGTAAATCAGTCCTTTGGGATCTTCTCCAGTTTTGACACCTACTTTTGACCACTTGCAAGAATATGTTGTCCCACTATAATGTCTAGAACTTTTATGTCATGACAAGATCATGTAAGATTTATTCTTACTAGAAGAAAATTTCCTCTATTTAATGCTTGCAATAACACACTGTGTCAGTACTGTGATCGTGCATGCTTATGGCATTTTGAGTGTCATATTTGTCCTCTTAGTTTTCCAAAGTCATGTGTGCATTCTTTACAATGTTACGGTTAATACAGTTTATCGTAATCTTTTGAGGAAAGACTTGTCTGTCTTATATTTCACAGCACTAAAAAGCATCTCTTATATAACTTTTATATAACCGATCTTGTCTGTGGCAGATGAATCCTAATAAAGGCTCTCAATGCCAAAGTGCTCCAACAGCTTTCAGTGAATGTCCTATGAAACGGTACATACTTCTATGTTGAGAGGGTTTTTTTTCTCTTTAGGTGAACAGTGTTTGCTTAGAAGAAGTTACTCATGAAGAAGCAGTGACTGCCTTAAAAAACACATCTGACTTTGTTTATCTGAAAGTTGCAAAACCCACCAGCATGTTCATGAACGACAGCTATGCCCCTCCTGACATCACAAACTGTGAGTTCAGCTTATCTTTGTGATGTAATTATTTTTTCCTTTAAGGCTTTAACATATCCCATTTTTAGTATTTTAAGAGTTTCAATCTTTTTAAAATTACAAGGTGTGAAAATCTGATATAAGAAAGTTGATGAATCAGGAAAACTATATGCTGAACAGAATAACATCCTATAGCTTGTGTACTGAAAAGACAGCAACAATGGGGCTCTTAGTGTGTTTCTGTGACTGATGTGGCCTAGTCGTAGTGACTCGATGTTTCTGATCACTTGCTGATGAGTGGAAGGAGAACACGTGGCTCATGCTCCTGGAGGCTGTGAAGAGTAACAAACAATGCACTGTGTAGATGGTCAGTATCCTGTGAACTGAGCAAAAGACAGTACTGTTTGAGGTAGAGGTTAGTAATGATTCTGACTTTTTTTTTTCCTGTTTTCGTGCTTTTTCATGAGCTGCACGTATTTGAATAAACTGGACTAGGAGGAGGGGGAGGTCTTGACCGCTGATGCCTGCCTGCAAATGTGTTGTGAAATTCCATGTTAACTTACTTGAAATCTTACTTCAGTTTTGACATAACTGTTGATAATTCAAATGGAAAACCAGTGAATGCTATATTGAAAATAGTTACAGGAGCTTCTTGTTGACATAAGGGTACTACTTACAGGAGTCTTTTTTAAGTCAAACATCCAAATCCAGAAAGTTCAGTGTTGAACTACAATGTAAAGAAAAATTTGAATTTAATGTATTGTTTCTTCAAGAGGGATATTACCATTTAGTGTTTGGACAAAGGGATGAGAATGATAGAACTGTATCTTTCAATACTCAATAGGTGGACTTTTCTGCATAACCAGTTTTACTCACCTTGTCACATAAAATGGTTCTGGGGGAGAGTTATTTTAGGTGGTTTTTTGTTTCCTGCTGTTAGATATGAGTAATTGATATGTAGCACTGATCTGTTCAGATACTATATGTGAAAAAGGATCACTTTTGGGCTAAAAAGCCACTGATGTAATCTAAAACAGTGTGTAAAGAACAAAAAAAGTGCAGCACAACAAAGGACTGAAGTACCTTATAAGCCCATAATTTATCGGTGACAGCTACAGTGTCTTTAAATCTATTTGTAAGCTTACTGAATTACAATTTGGAGCTAATTAGGTTTTATGTCTTCACTGTCTTATTAGAAGGGTGCTCTTGAAGGCTCCATTCTTTGACATAAAACTTAATTTTCAGCCTTCACTTATTCATCCCTAGTTTTACACTCAAATATATGGTTAGAGAGCAGCCATTTTCCCTTACGGTATCTCGTTTGTCCAATAATTCAACCTTTCCCACTGTTTCCTTGGAAGGCAGGCTTCTTTTTCTCTCTCCATGGTAGCTGACCTCTTCATATGTTTCACCTTGAATTCAGTTTTTCTGGAACAGAGGTAACCGAATTTGTATGTAGTGTTCTTCGTAGTGTTGCAGTAATGCAATTACACTGCTGTGGGTGGTGATGTGACAAACATAGAGGTATCTTATCTATTACTACTGTATCTTGACTCAATCATTGGGATATTTACTTTATGAATCTTTTGTGGGGGCAAAGGCAAAGCCTCAAGAAAGTTTGGGGAGAGGAAGGTAGAGAAGGAGCTCGTTCCTGATAATTTGGCCAATCCTAATAAATCAATGATACCCTCATATTGGCAAAAGTCATACTTAATAACTTTTGCTCAGTGCCTCTGATTATTAAAAAACAATTTGCAGTAAGGCTTCAATGGAAAAGAACAAAGCGCTGTAGCGATTTAGAGGACTGGTTATCTCTTTTGGGAGGAAAACTGAACTGAAACTGTTCACTTTGTGAGAGTGGAGGAAGGAACCTGTAGTAGGATTTGACAAACCTACTCCTTTATTAGGCAACCATAAAGGAATAGTTGGATATAAACGTAGATTTTCATTTTTGTCGTGGTTTAACCCCAGCCAGCAACTAAGCACCACGCAGCTGCTCGCTCACTCCCCCCCATCCAGTGGGATGGGGGAGAAAATCGGGAAAAGAAGTAAAACTCCTGGGTTGAGATAAGAACGGTTTAATAGAACAGAAAAGAAGAAACTAATAATGATAATGATAACACTAATAAAATGACAACAGTAGTAATAAAAGGATTGGAATGTACGAATGATGCGCAGGGCAATTGCTCACCCCCCGCCGACCGACACCCAGCCAGTTCCCGAGCGGCGAATCCCTGCCCCCCACTTCCCGGTACCTAAAATAGATGGGACGTCACATGGTATGCAATACACTGTTGGCCAGTTTGGGTCAGGTGCCCTGGCTGGGCATGAGAAGCTGAAAAATCCTTGACTCTAGTCTAAACACTACTGAGCAACAACTGAAAACATCAGTGTTATCAACATTCTTCACATACTGAACTCAAAACATAGCACCGTACCAGCTACTAGGAAGACAGTTAACTCTATCCCAGCTGAAACCAGGACAATTTTAAATTTTTATGTGCTTTGGTACTGTTCATTAAATGATACTTTGATGTTAAAAAGACTGTCTATAGACTCGAGAAGTTAAGAACAGAGATACCAAACTCAGCGCGGCTAATTCTCAATACTGTAGTTCAGTAGTTTGGTTTTAGGTAGGTGAGATCAGACTGCTGAGGGTCTTATTTGAAGCAGCAGTCATATTTCCTCTTTGACTACAAATTGACGTTCTCCTTTGGGTGATTATTTTGTTTTTATATTCACATTATCTGTACTAATATGTACTTTTAACGGAATATTTGCTCTAGCAGTATGCATAAGGACATGCAGTTGGCCCTCTTCTCATGCAGCGAATTAATTTCTCTCAAATGGTGGATGAGCTGGAGACTCAGTTCATAGAATTTAATTGCATCATAACATAAGAGCCATAAAAGAGACAGTGGTATCTTCAAGAATACCTTCTTACCATGTCTGTTTGCTCTTCAGGGAAGTTCTGTCAAGGGTAATCTCACACGATTGCCATGAGGATGTGCGCTGCCATCTGGCCTTGAGTCCTTAATTTCCCAGTATACATGACTTAGTCTCACATCCATTTTCTGGAGGTAAATGACCTGGCCACACATGTAGGCCCTCTTTTGTCCCATTACTGTCCTCCCTCCCAAGTTTCTCTTCATTTGGCTGCTCTCCCTGTAAGTGGGACTTGAGAGAGACAGTGGCATTCTGTGCAGCCCAGTATCCCGTCCTTTGTGTGAAATGGCACTTCTGTCCACTGAGAGGTGAAAAGCCAATCTCTTCAGCTGTCAAGCCCCTCAAGCTCCAGCAGCTTCTTATGCAAACCTTTCTCTTCCTGCTGAAGCATTTTGAAAAAATCACACGAGATTTCTTAGATTCCATGTGTTTGTCTTCTGTCCTTTGGTGACCTTTGATAAGGTTTGTGGGCTAAAGTGCTGTCTGGACTTCTGAGTGGATTTTCTGGGTTTTGTTTCATTTAGCTGCAGTTTTAACCTTCAGTTCTCTGTCTGAAGTTACTCTGGGTTTTTTTTTACGCCGTTTCTGGTAGACTTTTGTCAACAGTTAATCAAAGAACATTCTTCTGCAAAGTGCTGGGTCCTTTGATGAAACTTCAGTCTGTTTCTTTTCCATACAACAGGACAGCCTTTCCTACCCAAGGCTTCACATGCTTGTATGTCTCTGTTGATCAAAGTGCAGCTGGCTGTTACTGCACCTGGCATGGAGACTCAGGATTTACTGCCTGAATTTTGCATACAAAATAGATCCAAAGGTCTTGCCTGAGGTGTTTAATGGCTTAATTCAAGGAAATCTGTTTAGTCTTTTGCTAAATCTTCGCCTATAAGAAGCAACTGCATATGGCTAAGATGCTGTTTTTCTAATACAGAGCAGAACAAAAGCTTTTTCAGTACCCCTCAATATTTTCACATTTACAATGAAAATTTCAAAGGGAGATACCAATCTCCTCAAGGGCTGTTGCTTCTTTATAAAGTAGTACTACAACTTTGCAACTAGGAAGCCTCCACTTTCTGTAGGGAGCTGCTCAATTAGAACTCATACCAAAAAGTGGTGGCTCCTGTGGATAGCAGTTTAGAAGCTGATGTTTTCAGGGCCACCATTTCAAGGTTTGTTTTTATCTTCGTTCTCATCTCAGAGGAGATGTCCAAAAGTGATGCTGCATTTAGCAGAGCAGTACCTGGCTCAGGAGCCTTAGGTTAGGGACTCTGAAGAGCTTTTCCCAGATGACAGAAATAAAGAGGTATTTTCTAGAATCACCTGGATTGTGAGTGAATGTTGAAACAGTTACCAGTCTTCTTTCTTAACCTACTCACCTGCAGCTGTTTTGAGACATGTATTTGCAATCCTCCTTTGTATTTCTGTCCATCAGAATCCTCTTATCCAGGTTCTTAGGAGTTCAGGCCCATCATAAAGGAGAAGTAATACGTACTATTACTTTCACTACTGAATCTCTTAAATCCTCACAGATGCTGCCTATGGACATGTCCATTACAAATGATGTTAAGGTAGAAACTCTGTCTACTACCTGAGTATATATGTAGACTGCTCACTGCCCAGAACTCGCCTTTTTTTTCTTCTTTTTTTTTCTTTTTTAAAATTTGCATGGGTGTTTTTTAAACACTCATTTTATCAGAAACAACTAAAAGCACAGTGCATGGTACTTACCATCTTGGTATCTCTACTGTCTGCAGAACATACAGTAGATTGCTCACTGTGCTAACTTTTGTAAACATGATAATTCATTCAGAAGTCCAGACAACACCAAATTCAGAATTTGGTTGTCTTTAAGACTTTCTCTCTGGAACTGGTCTAGTTTAGTTATAGGGCTGCCTCACTTTCCCTGGTGATAGGGACTTAAAATGCAGAGCTAGGGATACTGAAGAACTGTTTGAGAACCAGGTTCACAAATTTCAGTATCTAGGTTTTCTGCAAAATCTGTTTTCTTTTAGAACTACTGTAGTAAGAGTACCAGCCACACAATAGTGTGGTCTGATGGCGGAAGAAATGGGACAAAGTAAGGTAGCATCCATATAGATAATTAAATCATTTGATATTGGATATTTCTTTGGGGTTAGTGTCTTTGAATTGAGGGACATTTGATCAAGAGGTTTCTGAGATTCTGAGATTCTGATCTATGGCAGTATTTATTGAGAAGAGTACAGATCCTGCCACTGCTGTGCACCTGGGGCTGAAAATTGACCTCTTATCATTTGATATTTATCAGAATGCATGAATGGCTTCTGGCTGCTTGTGGAGGAAGTTAATGTTGAAAATCTTGTTAAAGAAGTTGGGGCTGTGTGAGCATTTAGCAGGGAATGAATGTAGAAAAAACAGTTCATGTTGTGTCCTGTAGCTCTAGAGACTGGTATGTGCATGGGCAATGAAGGCTTGACCACAGCCCTTGACAGTCCGGAATAGTTGATTGCTATGCCTGTTCCTATTGCTTCTGTGAGATTTTTCTTTTAACCCTTGAGGTGTGGATTGTTAGTTTAAACAGTTACGTTACAGTGATCTCCGTTTTCTGACTCAAGAAGAATGCAATTATGTAAGATTGTTCTTTCTGAGCACATTGCCATTTGAATAATGTTCTCTTGTGTGGCATCCAGTCTCTGAGACACTGAAAGACGAGAACTTCCAGTATGGGAAACATGGAAATTCAACAAAAATAACTATGTTCATTGTATGCCAAGGAACAACAGCACTGTAGGTGGGATGGTCCTGTGGACTGATGCCACCCAGCTGACTAGCACCATTGGCAACTAAATCGATTTGTATATTTGATAATCATAGCTATTAGACTTCTGTAGTAGGGAATGTAAACTGCATCAGTAATCTCTATATAAATGTTGGTCATTAAATGGTTCCTGGAACAAATGTCCAGTAACTTGTTGTTATTAATGCTTTTAAAGTTGTTTGGTTGAAATATTACTAAGAAGGTCTAGAGCTTGCTATTTAAAAACACCGACATTACCTGTACAGTGCGTATTGTAGAATATCAGAGACAGAAAAGTGTCTACACAGTTTTTGAGAGACAGAGGGCTTGCTTCCTATACAGGCCTCCTTTGAAGACATTATTCATGATGCATTTTTGAGTCCTAGTAAATTCTAAAGGTTTTTCCTTTTTGTGTGTGTGTGTGCATGTGTTGGTACGGTATTTCCACCCTGCATTGAGAAATAAAATACTGCAAGGTAGGGAATAATCAGTTTCCTCACTAGAGACATGCATGCCTTATCATTCTTTAAATGGCATAAACACAGGAAGGGAAGAATAGGTAATAACAGCAAATTACAATAAAGTTTTAATTTTATTTGCTACTTTAGAGATTGTACTTGTGATTGGCATCCTCAGTTTGCAGATAATACAGAAATAATAGGAAATCTTCCAATTTCTTTTTGTGTAGAACTGTGTTATGTCAAGGCGGGGGCGGATTTGGAACTGGAATGTCTCCTTAAGAGTCTTTGACTTTTCCTGTCAAAGCAAGTTCATTTTATGCATGTAATTTTCTGTTCATCCAAAACGCAGTTCCTTTATCAGTTACATCAGTAATAATATTTACTTGGAAACAGAAGTTTAGACCTGATTTAGAATTCAGTAAGTGATGGCTTGCCTTTTATTTCTATCATGTTCCTCATGAATATTAATATTCTTCAGGTATACTATCCAGCTACAACGATTTTAGGAAAGGTGCAGGCATGTTTTTTTGCAGGAACTCCATAGAGAGCCTTTTTATGCCTTGTACGTTTGCTTCCTTAGAGCTGAGAATACCAGCCTTGAGAAAGGACCTGACTTTTCTAAGCAAGTAGCGTGTGTAGAACTTTATAAACGATGTAGCCAGTGCTGACGTGGAACAGTCCACGGGTCTGAAATAAAACTTATATTGCTCAATAGCTGAGTTATGTGGTGAAAGAATACAAAATTTAAAAAATAAGAATATGTTACAGTGTTAGATGGTATGTGTGTTTCTGAACATGATGCAGTTAAAAGCTTTAGGAACCCTAAAAACAATAAAACTGTAAGTCAGTACTGTAAGTCAACGACCGTAGAATTTGTTATGAAAAATCTGATTGCTTCCTATAAAATATGCATCATTTATAGCTGCCACTGATTTGTTAAAAGCAACTGTAAATTCATTTTGTGAAATGAGGAAATTTAGTGCATGAACAGAATGTACAGACCTGCTATACTGTGCTACAGTTGTTTAGGGTTTTTTAATCAAAACCTGTTTTCCACTAATTGGAAAAGCACTCATAAAGTCTGCATTCCATTTTTTTGTGCTTTAGCTGTAAAATTTTCTGAGGAAAATCAAAATAACTATATTTATGTACACTAGTCATTTTTTAAAGTATCATTTGCTTTAAACAAAAAGTACATACAATAACATGAAAATATTGTATTAAAATACAATATTATATTGTATTAAAATACAAGTGTTTGGGGTTTTTTTCCATTGAAAAGTAGATATTCCTGTATGGTTTGGTAATCATTGTGAAAATCTGTTGCCAAAACTCAAATGTGGCTAAAAAACAAGTTTTGAAATTGACAGTAAACTGTCCAAATCTGTAACCAGTGCATAGAAGCTAAATATTGTGCCAAGGCAGACAGAAAGAATTAAGTAGTGGGTTCTATAGTCTTCAAATCCTTGCAGGGAGCAGAACGATGAAGGTGCAATGTACATGTGTTACAGCTGTTCTAAAAAATGGTTTTAGGAGTTGTGTCTTGAACAACTCCTAATTATTAGGGAATTCTCAAATATGAATGCTTTTGTTGATCATTTGGTTTTAGCAAAAGCAGTGTTCTCTTTGCTGTAGACCTCATGAAGCTAACTTGAGGAAGCTTCCTTTTGTCTGTGTTGTAGAGGGGGACAGGCTACCTCTTGCACTCAGTTTTTGAACTTTGCTGAAACCACTTGTGAATCCAGAGTTGCAATTTCCAAAAGTTCTGCACAGTCCCAGACTAGAGCATGCAACTCACTGAGGGCTGGTGTGTCTGAATAACATAACTTAATTACTTTATCAGCTAGTGCTTTTAAACTACCTAAGCTGTTAATAGTGGATTTTAATGCTTGCTGAAACACATTCTGGAAAAATGAAAGAGCTCTAGTACTGTGACAAAGCTTTAAAGAATAAGAAGCAGTCTGGCTAATCAGATATGATACCAGATGTTACATGCCAGGCATTAAGGTACTATAGGGGTTTCCTGTCTGGCTTGGTACCTCTTTTATTAAACCACTGATTGGGGTAAGACCATGTTGATGTGATACATACTCCACGTATGGAATTTGCTGCACACAGGTTTACTAGGAATCTAGAATGATACAGAATCAATCCAGCGCAGATTGGGTGGTTTGAAAGCTGGCTATTTAGCAAATCTATCATATAAAAATACTCTTGATGAAGTCCCTATATGATCCGAACATTCTGCCAGTGGTTTAAAAAGAAAAACAAAAAAGGAGAATATACAGGTCGCTTCTGCAATCTATGTCATGTCTATTCAGTTAAAAAGCTTAGTGTAAATCCTGAAAGGTCAGGCACCACACCAGATACAGCAAGTGAATAAGAGCAGAGAAGTCTGGCAACTTTTAATAATGTTGCATCTGTCAAGTGTCCCCACCCTCCATGTTTCAGCCTCGAAGCTTGAAGCACCTACACCAGGAAAAAGATTTTCAATTGTAGAATATGCTTTGTAATAGGAGAGAGTGGTTATGACTACGCCTGGTGAACGGACACTTAAAATTGGTGTGCCTAACTTGGAAATATAATGCACCCTCTTGATTGTTTATTGGAAAAACTCTCCTGGAATTGTAGAATATTTTCGATCAATTGAAATCATTAAGATGCTAAATTTTTCTAGTATGTGTGTTGTGGTTCAGGTAAAACATATGCACTTCATGCACAGGATTCGGGGCCTCTTATGCAAGACGTTAGACTAAATCCTTTTAATACTCCTTTCTAATTTTAATCAACGAACCTGTGAATAAGGCAACTGACCCTTGCAGTACAGTTGAAATTTTTTGCACTAGCTTGTTTATTCCTCTCAGTAAATTGATGCCTCTTACCCTGAAGAGTAGGTTGTGGAATAATCCTACCTTTGTCTCCTGATGTGTGCTGTTGGCTGAGCACATACTAGCATCACTGCCAGCACCTTTGCTATTCAAGGTGGTTTTGTTCAGTGTCTAAGAAATGTAACATTCCTCCCTGTTCAGACCAATCAGAATGGCCTGGAGTATTCTGGAGATGCTAGGATGCTCTGCATCAAAGCATTGAAAAGAAAGAGGTAGGCAGCTTGACAGTTTGGCAGAAGTGTAACATCAAAATGTTCTATTTTTCACTGGTGCTCTGACGTAGTGATTTTAAGAAACTGAAATTGTTAATTGACTTCAGTCAAGTTAAAGACAACTTTAAAAACAGATAAATCTCCAGATTGTCCTCATGGGCTTCAGCTATCCACAGTGTCTGTTTCTAAAAAAGTGTTTTTTGAGACACAATCAAACTGAAAAATTTGCTTACTGACTTTAAGTGTGAGGAGACTGGGGAATGTGTAGATGTAACACAATATTTTAGAACTGTGATATTTATAATGTGTCATTTGAACTATTATATTTTGTTTTTAGAAGAGATCACTCCTATTTCAGTTCCTCCAGCTTTTTCCTTAATGCTTTTTTTTCCTTTTTTTTTTTTTTTTTTTTTTTTTTTTTCCCCTCTTTGAAGCTTATTCTCAGCCAGTAGATAACCATATCACTCCATCTGCCTACCTGGGACAGTCCCTGCCCCCAGCATCACCAGGGCGATATTCACCAATTCCCAAGGGAATGCTTGGAGATGATGAGATTACCAGGTAATGAATAACCAAAGCTACATGTCAAATTAGTTAACCAGGGAAGCTCGTAAGATCTGTTTGTGGGCAAAATACTAGCAAATACCATATTTTGTTTCAAGAAATAAATGTTAGTTTCTTAACACTTGTAAACATTGTTGTAAGGAGAAAACTAGATATATTTATATGTACACACATGTGGGCACACACACATGATTTATCAGTCCAGGAATGGCATTAAAATCAGAGTGCCCTGCCAAAGTGCTCCATGAGTTGACTGAGGTTTTTTACGATGGTAGTATGAGCAGACTAGAGATTATTTCTTATTTTAAAGCCAGCAATGTTTTTTGTTGTTGTTTTGCTTTTGTTTGTGAGGTGGTTTTTGTTTGTTTGTTTTTCTGTTCCTCCCCACCCCCTGACAAGGGTTTGATTTGATGGATTCCTAAATCCAGAAAGGCTAGAGAGCTCTTTAATCCTTTCGCATTAACAGACCATTCATTCCTTCACTGATTCAGTAGATTGCATTAATCTTTTGTTCATCATTGCTGATAAAGGGAAGCTCTTCTGATTATGTTACCCTTCTGTTCTGCAAGTGTAGGAATATTATACTGTATTTTCAGTATGTTGTTGCTGAATTCTGTGTCACAACATCTGATATGGATAATGTCACTCAGTTTCTGAGGCAGGGTCTACCCAGGATTGAAACTTAAGTGGTATAATAAGTTGGAGAATGAATTTTAGTGTATTGGAAGGTAGGATATGTCTTTGTAGTTATTTTTAACTTGGGGTTAGGTGGACATATAAGCCAAAGTGGTTCTGTCCTGCTGATAGCATTGCTGAACTTACAGTTTTATAGCTTTCCTTTAAAATTACTATAAAAGGAAGTTTTTAGATTTCTTTTGAAATGCAAGGGCTATTCAGAGAAGGCTTTGGGTGATTTTCTTTAAATTACCCCCCCCCCCCTTTCGTTCCCTCCATCCCAAAAAGAGGTTTAGAAATTTTGAGTAATATTTTAAAAGATACTGCATATTTATATTCTCTAACTGCAGCATTTTTGTTAATGTATTAGTGCGATCCAGAGCAATATACATAGGTTTTCACAATGTCATTTATTTGTAATAAAATAGAACTCTGAATAAATGAATATAATAGCTGACCGGATGAAATTTAAGAATTTGACACTAAGTTGATTTAAGAGCTAGTGCAAAAATGGAGTGATTTTTAAAGATCAGACTAAATGATATTTTTTTGTTTTGGAAAAATGCAGCTTCTTAGTTTATCACATAAATTAATAATTAATGTCTCCAAATACTTAAGAATGTCCATTAATTGTTCTTTAGTGCTCTCTAGTGATTTTTCAAATGCAGTGCACAGTTGCTCTGCTTTATCAGAAATGTCTGTTTCTGAAATCATTTATGCTTTTCTTGTATTGGGTCAAGTAGCAGATTAGTAGATTTTTGGGAGGAGTGTTTCTGCATTAGAAGTTGACTGGCCTTGTCTCAACTTGATCAGTATTTCTTCTTTCCTCTCTTCATCCGAGTCAGGAGGGGATTCTATAAAAAGAATGCAACAACTTGGTTTAGATTTAACTTTTTCAAATTGCAGTTGCTGCAAATAAATTGCAAATGTATTTGAGAATACAAAAAAAGTCTGATCTTTTTTTTTTTAAAAGGGCTTATGCATACTTCTTGAATTGTTCTTTGCTGTATTTATTGCTTGACCAACTGGAGTGAAATTAAAGCAGTAAGGGCATACTTTTCATTGTTGGTCTTTCCATTAGAATTTGTTCTTTAAGTTTCAGAAAGGCAAAAGAGTATTTTGTTGCTTGCTATTGCCATTAAATAGAATAAGACTGAGCTATATCGAGGCTCTTCAAATAGTCTGGAAAGTGTTAAGTAATAACACTTAGCACTGAATAGGATTGCAGCATAATAGGAATTTAGAATACATACATACTTATGGATTGTTCAGTTCACCTAACAACAGGAAGGGGATTTTGTGTTGCATCTAGAAGCAGAATTGAAAGCATACAAATAATGGAAGCTATTATTTGAAAGTCTAAGCTTTTTTGGGGGGGAGTGGGAAACGACGGGACTGGGGAGGAGTGGGTGGGACACAGGACACTGTTGCCTTAAGAAATGTGTAACTTTTGATACCTGAATTTTCAACACTACTTTTCTTAGAGAACTTAGCTTTTCTAATTGTTTATTTTACTTCTACTCATGTCTAGTGACGAAGATTTCGTATTCCTTTCTTTCATTCAGGGAGCCTAGAAAGGTCATCCTACATCGAGGATCAACAGGTCTTGGTTTCAACATTGTTGGAGGAGAAGATGGAGAAGGAATTTTCATCTCTTTCATCCTTGCAGGAGGGCCAGCTGACCTAAGTGGAGAGCTTAGGAAAGGAGATCGTATAATATCTGTAGGATTCCTTGCTTCTTTTACTTAAACAACAAAAGTTTTCCCCTCCCTGTATATTAATGCCAGTTAGTGATTTATAATCAAAGAATATAATTAACTGAGCTAAATTTGGGACAATGGAACAGATGCTAATATACTTCCAAAGTATCTTTGAGGACTTCAGTCTGCCTCAGTTTCTCATCTGTAACCTGATTAAAATAGCACTTTGCTATCTCAGAGCTATTCAGTGACAATATTCAGTGAAGACATTAATCTTAGTCTGGTAGCTGAGTGGGGGGTGTGTCTAAATTGAAAGAATGCAGGCTTTAGAAATAAGCCTTCTAATGAGATGGAGAGACTTGGCAGTAGTGTCTAAAATTGGGTGCTTTACTTCCTGGAATAACTGCTAAACTTCTTGTTACTCTTAAATAGATACATCTCATACTGAAGGGCGGCTTCTATATTAGTACTGAAGGTCATAAAGATTTTGTGTGTTTCTTTGTGAAATGACTTAATTTATGGAGAATCATGTCTTTGGACAATTGCATTGTAATTTGGTAGTTATTTAAGAGGAATTTTTTCCTCTTAAATTTTGGCTCTGCTGTTATTAAAATGCTGATATTAAAGTACATCTTTATTTTAGTTTGAACTATGAAAAATGCTTTTGGTCTAAACTGTGACACACATTCCTGCTTCAGTTTTTTTCTGACACTATTTTTAAATCTGCTGCATTGAAAACAAGGCTAGACCCATGGAGGGTGTGGTTTGTCACTGGAAGTTAAACATAATGGTCTGTAAGCATGCTTTGGCTAAGGAGATCCCTGAAGCCCTGTTGAAGAAAGGTGAGGTGAACCATCACAGAAAATAACATTCTCTATGTCTCCTTAAAAAGAAAGAAAAAGGCCTTAAACAATAAGAAAATTGACCTAGCAAATACAAATTCATTAAGTGATATATTATGACAATTACACTGTTTCTTAACAGAGGGGTATGTGTGAGAGAGCATTTATTGTCTTTGGATTTCAGTAAGGATCAGTAATCTTTGTATTAACTAGCTTGTAATATTGGAAACAGGGAAAACTCACATGGCATGGAAACTAGTTTGTGTCCAGTTAATTTTTTTTTTCATGAGTCTATGTTCTGTGATGATAAACACAAACATTTATTTTGATAAATTGTTTTTTTGTATTACTTGTAGGTAAATGGAGTAGATCTAAAAGCAGCAACCCATGAACAGGCAGCAGCAGCCCTGAAGAACGCAGGCCAAGCAGTAACGATTGTAGCTCAGTACCGTCCAGAAGGTAAGGGTTGCGTTATACATTCAGGTGCACTTCTACAATTTGAAACTCGGAGAAAGATAATCTACAATATCCTCTGACCCCTCTGACCCACCTAACCCCTCTTTTGAGGAGAGGAGAAGCAAATAATGCCATAGATATTGACATGTTCCTGTTAGCATAATTGCAAGTGACCAGATAGGAATATATGCAAGTGTTGGTGCCAGGGCTTGATATGTTTCTTGCTCTGATCATGTTCAGAATTTTGATTTCCTCAGTAAATGTTAACACTGTCATAACATGAAAATTAAGGCAGTAAATGCAGAACGTAGTAGAAATACCATGTTGTTACTTTTGTATTTCACGGCTGTCTTCACCCATTAATATGGTGTTTTTGTTTTCTTTAGTGGGAGGAGGATAAAAGACTAATTCCTTCTCTGTTGTGTTGATTCAGATGACCTAAGGAGACCATCAGGTTTTTCATTCCTCTGTTTCATACTGAGCTGGTATTTCTGTTTATCCAGCAATTTCTTCTGGTCCAGATTAGACTGCAGCTGATGCTGATTAATCATCCTTTTGTGTTCTGCAGAAGCCAAATAATACTACGTCATCACAATACACATACTTGTCCTCTTGTATTTTTACAGCACATTTCAAATGCCTTTGTCTATTTGAGACTTTAAAAAATTCATTAGTCTAAATGTATATGCTTACCTTGAGTCTGTAAACCCATATATTATTGTTTATATAGATATATAAGAAGACATTTTTGATGTCTTATTTTGAACTGTGATGATCAACAGCTTTCTCCAATTTTGCTAAATTGGATGGCCCATCACTAGATCTTCCTTGCATTGACTTGTCTGCTTAAACCTTTCCTTTAACAGTACTGGCAAGTATAACCATCTGTCAGGACTGGACATTGAGTAGGACTGCTGCCTTCATCTGAAATTGTTAGGTAGCTGGTTGCAGCACACTTTTCTTCATTTTTTATTTATTCTTTTCTGTCATGTTGCTTTTATTCTGTCCTCCCCAAGATTTTGAAACACTAGCTTTCACATTCCCCTCCCCCTCCACCCCCATCAACATCATTTATCTCCACTGACCCAGGAACTCTGGCAGTAATAAGGCCAGCTGATTTGTTTGTGTCTGGTTCATGGTCAAATCCCTGTACCCAGGCCATGTTGTTAATGCCTGTATTGTCTTGAGAGGGTGTGCATCCTGTTCGCATGTTGAATCTTGTAGGTTGCTCTGTTCCAGGATTTGTTTTCTAGGAGTGCTCACTCTGAGACTTCCTTTTAGAAAGAATAGTAAGGTCAGCATTGGTTCTGGAATATTTGCTTTGGCTTTGTGTCAGAATTGTCAAATACTTCTGTGGATACATGTTTGGCCTATCCTCTGCTTAGCTCTTCAGTATTGTAACAGGTGGGTCAAATTATTACACCTTCTTGCTCCTTGCGTAGGGATCCCTCACCCTAGTGAAAAATGAAACTTGTGCTTTTATTTGCCCATGAGTTGCCCTTTTGAGGATCTGGCTACTTTTTTTTGTTCAAAGAGGGCATTCTTGGTCACTATTTTTTCTGCCAGGGACATACATTGCGATGTGGCTCCTAGTAGCAGAAGAAATGTTTCTCTGGTAGAATATATCCCAGGACACAAGCACTTTTTTTTTTCCTTGCCAAAAAATGTATCCAGACTTCATGAAAAAGCAGCAGTTTTTCAGTCTTCTCTTTCAGGGATTCAGGCTTTAAAACGGAAAAGAATCCCTTTGTATACTGAAAGTCAGAACTCTCTTTTCCTTTTAGAATAAGAGAACTAAGGATTTTGGATGATTCCTGCTCTTTCTGCATTGGAAATAACAGCTTTCTTCATTACCACTTGTCCAAGTAGATAACTTATTTTCCTGAAACATGTAGTGAGGTACTTGACTGACTGATGGGATTTTGAGTTGTTGCACAGAGATTCGCCCAGACCAACATGCACATACACTGCCTCTTAGAAATTTCTCAACAGCTGTGACTTGTAGACTTCAAACCTAGAGCTGTACTCATTGCTTCATGATTACTGAAGCATTCAGAATAAGACTGTATGCAGTTGAGCTGTATTGAGAATGCTCTTCTCAAAGAATTATAGGGCCCATTTGAGAGGATGCATGTGGGAGATGTTGAATTATCCTAGATTATGGGCAAACATCTGACACATTAATCAAAGAAAGGAATTTCTTTTTTTTAAGATGTTTGGTCTGCATGACTGTCTGTCCGAAATAGTGCTTAAAATCTCCATTTGTAGTGAAGATGTTGGAAGTATGTTAGGGCTTACTCTACCCTTTTGAAGTATGCCATGAAGCAAAAGTGTAACTAGGAGATTGAGATCCATTGTAGTTTGGAGGCAAAGTATGAATTGACACATGGGCAACCTACCTCAGAGAGGTCTAGTTACTAATGTCTGACTTTGGTATCTCTGCTTGCCTTTTTCTTACTCCTTGTAAAAAAAGACTGAATGGAACTCCAGCTGTCAGCTTCTTTCAGGTCTGGTGTGGGGGGTAAATTGGATTAGATACTCACCATTCGTATCTTAGAGATTAGTAAAGAGAGTATTTCCTTAAAGGTTACCGTTTATCAGTCTGAGGTTTGACTTTCCAAATAGAAACTACCATCCATGTGACTGAGTGTACTAGATAACAGTGTATATGTTCTTTGATCATCTTTGTACTTCCTAAATTATAGCTGCGGATGGTCATCTTTTCCCCTCACTTGATTCATTTAAGTTGGGAAATTTTATATATATATATATACATATATGTATATATAATTATCTCCACTTTTTGTTTATGCCATTCAAAAAAAGGTTAACAAGTATTAAAATGAAGAGTTTGTAAAATCATTGTTTGTCATTGGTGTTTCTCAAATCTCTTCAAGAAGATGAAGAGCATCAGTTATAACTGCTTGTATTGCACATGGTTTTTATTTATATTTATAAATCCAGCAGGATTTTGTAAAAGATGCTGACAGCTAGGACAGATCAAGGAGATTCTAGACATCCATCAGGGTTCATTATAACTGGGTAAATAGATTCAGTATGATAGGAGCATTTGGAAGACACTTGGGACCAACTCACTCAACTCCCTGTAATCGTATATGACAGTTTGTATGTTCATAGATGTGGTGGGGAATGGTAATTCATGTTTTTACATCCTACCACATTAGCTCTATCAGAAATTCACCATTTGTATTTCTCCTCAGATTTTTGGGAAAAGAGGATTTTCGCAAGCAGTTCTCTCATAGGAAATACCAAGTAGGCTGTAGAAAAATGAATCTTTGGAAAATCAGGATGTTGTTCTTGTTTTCCTCTTCCTCTGTTTGGAAGCTTTTCCTTATTCCCCCACTTCTACTACAAATTTCCATCTCCTTTCAAGACATCATTCATGAATAAAAAGATATTTTGCTTTACTGTGAGTTCCACCAAAAATGAAGTACCATGACTTGCAGCAGTTTCAAAGAAAGTGATGTTGCTCCAGTACACAAAAGCATTTTGATGATCCATTTTCATTTGTAGAGGTTTCTGAGCCATTTCATTTTCCTGTTGCTCCCTGGCTCTGCAGAGACACCTCAGTGCCACACTGCCATCTCCCTTCTTTAGGTTTTCTACAGTTGTGGGGTGGCAAGGAAAAATTGTGATATTAGTGTGGAAGAATGAGAGGAAGCTGTAGGCAATTTGCATATATATGTCTGTCTCCTGTGAGTGTGGATTCAGAGATGGTCAGAATTACGATCATGCTACATAGCTGGGATACAGGAACGTGACAGCCTCAGTGCTTGAAGAGAATGTAGTGAGGAGAGGAGCAGCAAGGGGGAAGTATAGGACTGTCCAGAGGTCCAGAGCCCTTGGAGGGCTCTCCCCTCACTTCACATTGATGTTTCCATTGTTACATCCATTCAAAGTAAAAGGTCCTGTGAAACATTCATGGGTGTTTTGAGGTTGACATAATAGTGTTACCTCAAATTTCAGAATTTCTGGAAGGTTAGGTTTTGCCATTCTGAAAAGGTACAAGGTGCCAGTAGGCTGCCATAACTGTATTAAAGCTGGAGTACATTTAAGTGTTTAAAAATAAGAAAAATAGCTAAAGAAATACATTAAAAGTATGAAAATATATTTGGATGAAATTAGATAGAAAATAATTTTGTGGATTAAATTTTTTTTGTTTGGTTTGGTTTTTTCTGTAGTTATATTCTGCTAGATCAGAACTGGGCAATTAAGTATATATATAACTTTAACTGCCATTACATACACATTAACTGTAAAGCCTGCTCTTGGAGGGCCTTGAAAAAGCAAGCAAAGTGTATTGGCATCAGCATTCATTGGTCACCTGACCCTTCCCCCAAAACAGGAACAAAATTCAGATACCCTTTCCTGTCATGACAGGGTTAGCAGCAATTTGTTTCCCAAGGATCCGCTTGATGTACAAAAAATAAAATTATCATTTTGACTAGTACAGCAGTCCTTTTTTCATGTGAGTTGTCAGCTGCCTGTTATTTAGAATCTACATTGGTCTTCTTTTTGTAATTCAGCTGATCCTGAAAGACTAGTAAGATGGTTAAGTGATCAGATTAGCTCCATGTTCTTAGGTGATTGGGTGGATCAGTGTAAGATTAGGAGAAGGTGGAGCCAAAACCTCAAGAGAAGATTTTAAGGTATTTTTTGTGAAACCTCTTCTTCTGAACTTACATTGTTCATATAGGTAGTTAATACATATTTTTCTTTCAGCTTTATTAAAGGAAATAAGTGATTCTCCATTGCAAAATGTGTTCAAGATTCATAGTTCAATCAAAACTCCTCATACCTTGTTAGCCAGATTTTTAGGTGGATTTTCATGGGTTTTTTTGTTTGTTTTTGAAGGAATGTAAGCATCTACTGAAAATAAGATCCAAGTATGACAACTTTGTATTTTTCGTTATCTCTTATCTTTAATACAAATGAGTCAAAGAAAAGAAAAAGGAGGGGTGGGTGGAGCTTTGATAGAGCTT